TGCGTGTGTGTGTACAGGTTTGTTTGTTTGTTTGTTTGTTTGTGTGTCTGTGTGTATGTGTGTGTGTGGGGGGGGGGAGGGGTGCGCGCGGGTGTGTGTTCGTGCTGAGACTCGCAAAAGTCTTCTTATTGATCTGTTAAGATTACTTTACCCGAGGCTGTGCTCGACCTACATGCTAACTCGTCTCATGAAAAAGAATCAGTCAAACACCAGTCAGTAAGAAAAACACACTAGAGCCCTATATAATGTCATATTTGGGTTTGGTCCAAATAATGCGATCGCACAAAATGCGGGGTTTGCGTTATTGCCGGAGATACCTAAACGTTTAAATAACAAGACAAAATAAGATTTAATGAAAGAATAGAGGATAAAAGTAGCCAAGTGATGATCACGTTGTATCCGATTTCGCATTAATATTGGGGGGGGGGAATAGCGAGGTCTACTGTAATTAATATGTACGCAACGTTAGATCGTGGCGTATCTTGTGTTAATATTTTATCTTCTATTGCCGGATTCATTGCAACGTCCATCTGGATGCGAAATATGCAGTTTGAAATGTAGCATATGCAGTGCAAAATCATAATGTGTGAAGTGAAAATTCAAAACCAATCTAATGAAACGCGGACCCATAGGCTTCTGAGGCTTCTGGCCATCCCCAGATGCCGGGTGCTTATAGAAATTTTTGTAATCAGGAGACTTCTATTAAATAAGTTTAATACTAGCCAAAACAACTGCTTGTTAGTTAAAATAAACAGTCGGCTCTTGAATGGTTAGGATGGTGCTACCACAAAAACCTAGTCATTTTCTCCCAGCGATCGTCTCCTTAGGCGCCTGAATTACGTAAATTGAATACGCGGATTGCGCAATGTACTTATTTATGTGTGAGCACATGTACTTAGTGATACTACAACACGTTTGAAATGAAAACGCGTGCTAGCGGTAATATATACATTGCATGAAAGAGATTGTTCACACTGGCTCTGTTACCCTACCAAATCTGTTTACTCCATTAAATGGAGCGCGCGCATGCGCATTATCTCTCGAGAAGAGTTATCCTAGCATAGATTTATATGATAACATTTCATCAGTAGACATCACTTAAGAAATAGGAGGAAGACCTTGCATGCAAGGTCCCCGCTGCGTATACCAGCCAGTACACAATCTGGCTACGTTAGTGTATTAGCGCATGCGCAATATCTCACCAGAGGAGTTATGTTTTTTGTGATGAGTATGCATTTAATGTGGTTAGGAGGTATCTCGGCATAGATTTCCCTAATCTAAGATAGATTTATATGATAGCATTCCATCAGTAGACATAACTTAAGAAATAGGAGGAAGACCTTGCATGTAAGGTACTCGCTGCGTATACCAGCCCAGTACACAATCTGACTACGTAAGTGTGTTAGCGCATGCGCAATATCTCACCAGAAGAGTTATATTTTGTGATGAATATGCATTTAATATGGTTAGGGGGTATCTCAACATATAGATTTTCCTAATAAATTTTTATCAGTAGACCTGCATTTATAATTAGGAGAGCGCCCTAGCCTGTAGCGTACAAAACACCTACTTTTTGCCCTCGCGTTCTTCCTCTTGCTTTTCCTGTGCCTCGCTCAGCCTCCTGCTTCTTCTGCTTGGGTAGGGTAAATGAATTGTGACTTTGATGATAGAAGCATAAGCTTTGGCACACTGTTAGAGCCTGCACTAAGGATGATTT